TGGGGTAGGAGACGTTAATTCCCACGCAAGAGATTACTGTGTGGTGGATGTCCTCCCCTGGGGTGGGATGGGTGGGTTTACTGGGCCCGCAGTAATTGGCGCAAGTTGTTGCGGCGTCCCTGCCTGTCGACGAATCTAATAAACTTGAATAGTGAAGTGACCGGGTTGACTGGAAAGAAATGTGTTGATGCAATCAAAGAAAAGGCAGTTGACGCAAAAAGTTCAACCACTTAGTTAAGGCCTGTTGGCTTGAAGGAGAAGCGACTCGACTCCTCGAAGAATGTGAGATATCTGTAAGTTTTGCATCATTAATTGGTTTAAATCACATCCATTTGGCATCATGAAGCAGAATTGAAAATTTGTGCAGCCTTGCAGTCTAAACTCTGGTTAGACTATGCCTCGACGAGCAAAATATTTTTATTGTGATGTTGACAGAGTATAATTTTTAAGGGTACCCAAAGTTTTAGGAACGAAAGTGAGCCTGAGCTTGAGAAATACAATTCCTAAGCATTGAATTGCTACATAATATCTTTTAATATGTGAAATCATATCATATTCATATCAGATTTTGAAAAGAAATTTCTACTCCAGGTCTAAATATTACGAAATCAATCAACAACAACAACAACAACAAATTTTATTTAAGTTTAATAAGAATATTACAATCATTGGGCCCGCAAGTAGCTAGGGCTATTCGAGGCGAGCACAAGAGAGGAAAATTAAAAAAAGAAGAGAATTCTACAGAAAATGAATATTTATATGTATAATTATAATTATATAGACGAAAAGTCCTAAAAGAAATCTAGTTTGCCGTGTGGCTTATAGACAGAATGAAACAGGAGGGCAGACTGTAGTATATACTGGAAGTACACACAGTTCTAATTTTGAGAATTGTACTCTAATATCAGCAATTCTCATATAATGATCCTATTTTTTCAGAATTTCGAAGAGTTTTTCCTTTATTGCGCTTTTAAATTGATTTTTTTAAGTGTTTCATAGGAAGTGGAATACTGTTCCAGATCAAGGTGCCAGAAACAGAGAAGGCTCTCTTCATATTTCAGTTCTAACTTGTTCAACATAATAATTTTTATTGGTAACAGATCTAGTCTGGTAACTGTGGACAGAAGCCAGCTTCGTGAACATATTCTTAATGTTATCAGGATCGAGATTATTGTGGACATCGTACATTAAAAGGCTCATTTGCTCAAAGCACAAGAATGATATCGGCAACTGTTTAGTTTGTAAGAATAACGGAACTGCATGAGCTCTTGGATAAGCGAAGAACATTAGCCTAAGGGCTCTCTTCTGAAGAACTAGTAGTTTATGAAGATGCGCTTCAGCAGTGTGACCCCAAGCACAAATGCGGTATAAAGTGAGAAGTACATGACAGGGAACAAAATGTCTGAGCTTGGCGATAATTCCGATTGTTTTACTGATTTTCTGACAAATGTAATCTACATGAATTTTCCATGAAAGATTTGAATCAATGAGTACACCAAGATATCTAATGTAGACTTTCATTTGCAACAGTTTACTGGTGTTTGAATTGGTATTTACCATTTTAATATCAGGATTAAAAGTAATAGTCTTTTGGCGTGAGCGTAAGATAATATAATTGGTTTTTTTCGATGTTCAAGGTTAATTTATTAACAGCTAGCCACCAGGAAACTTTGTTAAGTTCTTCGTTAATCTCAGATTCAAGTTTTTTGAGATCGCCGTTTGCATAAATTAAACTAGTATCATCGGCGAACAAGTAAAACTGAAGTTTATTTGAAGACTTATATATATCATTTATATACAAGAGAAAAAGCAAGGGTCCCAGTACAGAGCCTTGGGGTATTCCACAGAGGGTTTGGTGAGCATCAGATATATAACCATTGACGGTCGTATACTGTTTACGACCAATTAAGTACGACTTAGACCAATTGTTCGCTATACCTCTGAAACCATAATTTTCAAGTTTTGAGAGAAGAATTTCATATTTAACTGTGTCGAAAGCCTTTTTCAAATCAATGAATAATCAAAAAGTGAATTGACCTTTATCAAAATTACTAAAAATGTCATTTAGGATTTCTAGAACTGCGTGTTGTGTACTATATTTACTGCGGAATCCATATTGTGATGAATATAATATATTGTGTTTATTGACAAACTTGACAAGTCTTTTATAAACCAGCTTTTCAAATATTCTGTTAAAAAATTGATAACAAAGAGATTGGTCGATAATTTTCAGGCTTAGATGCATCCCCTGATTAAAAGACTGGAACTACTTTGGCGGTTTTTAGTTTGGCTGGGAAAGAACCAGAGGATACTGATACATTAAAAATTTGAGCTAAAGGTTGGGAGATAATATAGCTAGACAATTTCAAGATACTGACCGGGCACGAATAGAGTCCATAGGCTTTGTTGTTTGGTAATAGATTGAATTCAGCTACAACTTCTGCAGGAACAAAGGGGTCAAAGCGTACCGGAAGAGATGTTAAGAGTAGGAAAACTGGGAGTAGAAAAAGACTACTGATTTTTCTTTGTCTTCAGAGCTCTAGAAACAGATATCACCATATCTTCTTCCTGCTAAGCCCACAAAAACAATTTATGAATATCTGTCTTAATCTTAGATTTGAAAAATCTAAATCTAGGGAAACTATAACGGTACGCTTTGATGTCATCACTGTTATCATACTCATCGCTGATTTGAAGATTTTCACAAACAACTAATCAGTCAGCACTTTTCGATTTCACGCAGCGTGGTCTTGAAAATTTGCGCAATCTAGTAAGCTAATCTAATGAAAAACTTGAAACAGTTGTGACCAGATCACTAGCGTAAGATTGCGCTCGAATGAGTCTTTATTTATCAACTTTATTTATCTTTGAGTTCCCACCCGCGCTCCTGTTTCTGAGTTGCTGTTATGATTTTTCTGGGAACAGGTGGCTTACAGCATATGTTTATTCGAAGAGGGCTGTAACTCCTACACTAGGAAGTTGTAATT